TATTGTCAACACTGTTCTGTGATTTCTCAATAAAATAGCTTAGAAACTGAAAAGTTCAAGCATATATTTCTTAATAACTAAATCCCACAGCTTCACTACTAGTAGAGAGACGCTGCCAGGTAGAATTAATTCACACACGCAATCGCTCTCTCGCTATTGCATTCATATAAATGCAATCTTTACTGTGCTACTTTATCTGTATCGGATTCAGAACGAGCAGAAATCTGTGAGAAATATAACGACCCAAAGACAAAAGAACTGATAAAAATGAGCTGTTATAGGAGCAATAGCCATGTGGGCAGCGCTGTGTCATATGCCATAGCTGTGCACAAGGTATTCGAGACTCAGCTCAAGGTTCAGGCTTATTTGTTCATTAATGACGTCATCAGCGTCTAATTGACTAGTTGACTCGACTTTCATCATAGAAATTTTAAAAATCTGAAGTAGTTCAAACCCTAACACAGAATATGATACATTTCTGATAATATTGTATTGGGGGAAGTCGTGGCCTAATGGTTAGAGAGTCAGACTCGTAACCCAAAGGTTGTGGGTTCGAGTCTCGTACCGGCAGGGATTGTAGGTGGGGGGAGTGAATGTACAGCGCTCTCTCCCACCTTCAATACCACGACTGAGGTGCCCTTGAGCAAGGCACCGAACCCCCAACTTCTCCCTGGGCGCTGCAGCAGAAATGGCTGCCCACTGCTCCGGGTGTGTGTTCACAGTGTGTGTGTGTGTTCACTGCTGTGTGTGTGCACTTTGGATGGGTTAAAATGCAGAGCACTAATTCCAAGTATGGGTCACCATACTTGACCACATGTCACGTCACTTTATGACTAGTGTTAGACATGGTTGTTGCTACACAAAACTGTATTGATCTGAGATTTGGCAACTAAAAGAAAACAATCATGCAAAAGGGCCCAGATCAGCAAAAATTTAAATAAATACATTTTTAAAGAGAAATATGCAATGGGGACAGGAGAACTATTCTGAAATAAGCAAGAAATTAAAACGGTAATGACATTCTTTCTTCTGTGGAACATAAAAGAAGATATTTTGAGAAATGTCTCAATGCCTTTTCTCCATCAATGGCAGCAAATAGTCACCACAATTGTTTAGTTACCAACATTCTTCAATATATGCTTTTCTGTGTTCCACAGAAGAAAGAAAGTCATACAGATTTGAAACAACATGAGGGTCAGTAAACGATTTGACAATATTCATTTTTGGATGAACTATCCCGTTAATGTTCATCGTAAACTGCAGTACCTCAACAGCTTGTCCAAAAAACAGAGTCCACAGAAACACAGGTTAGGAAGCTAAGAGACTAGATTCTCAACTTTAGCCAAGCTCTTGTGGAATAGGAGTTTATTGCCTTTTAAATTATTAAATACAATCTCCCTGGGATAACAAATGTTTTCTAGTCTATGAACTCTTTCTCGCCAATACATTGGAATTATGGGCTATGAAATTCCCTGTGTGAAACATTCTTCTCAATTGTCTGGACACTTCATGCTGTGCATCACCTCACCCAGCATTTATGTTTTCCTCTTTTCACAGACATGTAACAGTCTGTATCTGGTTAAAGTCTTTTATGTTTGTAGCATCTTTTCCAGATATGTTCAGCATGCTACTGAAGCCGGATCATGATGAATAGAGACAGTTTTAACAGACCTTTGGCTCTCCTCATAATTTCCCAGCCAATTCTCATGCCTCCTCCACCCAGAACAACCTACACTCTAAAAAATGCTGGGTTGTTTCAACCCAACTTTGGGTCAAATATGGACTAACCCAACTTTTGGGTTAAAAATGTAATTAAAATTTAACCCAACAGCTGGGTTAGTCCATATTTGACCCAAAGTTGGGTTGAAACAACCCAGCATTTTTTAGTGTACCAACCACCTAGTAGTGCCCTCAGAACCACACAGCAATGCCCTGGAATGGTGGCATTTTACATGGACAAGCACCACTCACATTAAATATCTATACTCTAAAAAATGCTGGGTTAAATATAACCCAGCGCTGGGTTAAAAAGGGACAATAGCTGGGTCAAAACAACCCAATAGCTGGGTTTGTCCCTTTTTAACCCAGCGCTGGGTTATATTTAACCCAGCATTTTTTAGAGTGTAGTAACTTTGTACACATCAAGTCTTTCCTGTGACCCCAGTAAATTCTTCAGTGATGTAAAATGTAGGTTATGCTGGAGCTGAGTACAGATGACCTGACACCAGGGCCATAAACATCAGCTCATGCTGTGTGCGCACTCCCTTTAGTACAGTGACCCTTCAAATACATGAAGAAATGGTTCTGCCATTTCCAAAAGTACATGTTCTGGAGGCACCGACAGAAATAAAGCATGCCAAATTTGTCTGAAACACCAATTTGGAGCAAATCCTATGTATCTGTCCCACTACACCCCTTTTAATCTTTTTTATGCC